AACATAAAGGCAGACATCATATATCAAAGAAGAATTTCAAATTCAAAAATTAAGTTGTTAAATAAGATCTCATGATATAATTTATAATATATTTTCTTAAGTGAAATAATTTTGAATTTGAAATTTGTATAAATTTATACTTTTATATTTTTTTATTAAATAAATAAAAAAATAAGATCGAATTCGTAATCGCTTGATCATTAAAGTTCTGATATTATTTTAAAAAAATTATTTCAATTCAATAACTTAAATTATTAGATAATATCCTAATATATAATTTATATTATTCTTTAACATTGTTACTAGGTGAAATTAAGATTTTAGAATTAAGATTCCATGGAAAAAAAAATGATAAATCTTGAAGCTAAAATAATAAAGGGAGAGCTTGGAGTTAAAAAAAAATGTATGTTGTATTAAATAATTAAAAAATACAAAGATTTAAGGACCAAAAGGTAAACTTTTTGTTGTTTGGGGTGCCATGGAGAATATAAGATGAAACTGGAATCTGGAAATTGACATTAGATTGAAGGGCTTGAAAGATAAAAACATATATTCTAATACTATTATGTTCTACGAGCATAATCATTGGATATTGCCTTATTGTAAACATAATGATAATCTCGCTTAGTCAAATTAAAGTCTTACTTTATGTTTGGCACCGTGGTGGATAGTTTAAGAAATGTTGTAAATTATAATTTTTTTTAATCAAGATTTCGAAAGAAAGCTTATGATAAAATTGCGGTGTATATTAATTGAACACACATTTGGAACTCCTAGCTAGCATTAGACAAGGAGCGGCGAAGATTCTCACCTTAAGTGATGTTCATACCTTAATACTTTCAAATGTTTTGTATGTTTCAGGCTTCAAACAGTAAATCAAAGGTTATAGTTTCTGGGCTACTTAGCAGGCGTTCCATTTCTTTTATGTTTATGGTATTAATAGCTCTATTATCTGTATAATTTAATTATAAATAACCGAAAATTTAGTTGGTGTAAAAAAATTATTTTAATTTAATAATTATTAAATTTTATATTATTTTTTAACATATTTTTTAATATTTTAAAACTTGAAACTTGTATAGATTATCTTGTATTTGGTTTTTATTAAATAAATAAAAATATTAAAATTCAAACTCATGATCATTTTATCATTAAAATTTTAATATTATATTAAAAAACATCTGGATATAATAGATTAAATTGGTATATAAGTTTTTAAAATATAATTTATATTTTTTTTATACGAGAACAGTTTTTTTTTATGTGTGCAGAGCTCTTAACATCATCGTCCCATGTCTACCTGCGTTATACTCTTTTGACTGCAGCGAGGCAGCTAAGAACAAGTATCTTGTAAAGAAAATGGAGATATAAATGGTTAACATTACTAACTTACCTCAAGCGTGCAGCCGGAAATGAAATTCATGGAGTTTCTGCTTGAAAATGGAAATCTTGAATATTAAAAAAGTAAAATAAAATCATTGCTGTAGCTTCATTTGATTGTTTAGGTTTTGGATTGAGATGGTTTTTTTTATATAATATTAAAACTCTAGTAATTAAAGAAGAAAAAATCAAGGTATAATTGAGGGGAAAATATGTTGGAGCTGAAAGCTAAAAATTCCATGGTAAATGGACTCGCCTGTTTGCATTTTGGAGGTGTTTCTCTAGCTTGCTTGTTTTGACAGGGAAGACGAAAGTGACTAGGGCAAAAACTATGGACATTAAACAAATAATGGGGGACACGTGGCTGATATTTGGTTGGAGACCCTCTCTGTCCAGGCAATGTCAATAATTCAAAACAAATTGTAATTAGACAATACTATAATTAACCACTAATTATTGGATGTTGAAATTAAAATTAAAGAAAATACTAAGAGTCTGATTTGCACAGTGATTTTCTCTTCTCCTCTTCTTTTTTTTGTCATTCATTTTTTATTTTTATCTCTAGCATTGTTTTTTATTTAGTCTATTAACATTCATTGATTTTAGATTGGTATTAGTGATTTTTTTTTTTTATGGTAAATGTTTTGTCACTTTTTTTCATGGTTTAAAATAATTAGGGTTTAAAATACCAATTTCAAGTATGAATTAATTTTAGTATCTTATTTTTTTGGCTAATATCAGATATCGATTTGCTTGTCAGGGTGAGGCAATAAGATTTGTAATTGAACTAATATTTCTTGATTAAATTATCAAAATTATATGCATAATTAAGATTAAAGCTTACTGAAACAATTCTCATGTAGTGCTGCCAAGGGATGAGAGAATAAGTGTCATTCTCAAATATATAGAAATCCTAAATCAGTAACAATCCTGTTATATGTTCGTGTATGGCTAAAAAATTGATTTGATTTAACAGGGGTGCTTGGGATGTTATACTTAGATAATAAGTTTGAAAGTTTAAATCAAGTTAATGTTAATCTTTTTATTTAATTTTTTTATGTTGGTTTTATTTTTTAATTTTAAATTTATTAAAAATTAAATTTATTGATTTTCTTTAATATTTTTTTAATAGAATTATTATAATCTCATGGCATATATAATTATTATGATATTACATCACAAAATATTATTTTTAAGTTTTATTTTCCATTAATTTTTTAATATGTATAATTATTATGATATTATATTACAAAGTATAAAGTATTTTAAGCTTCTAACTTTGTTTCATGGTTGAAGTTTATTTTAAACTATGAATATGAATATATGATGTAAAAAATGATTGATTGAGAATACGTAGATTTAGTGTATAAATATCTTTTAGAATGATACTAGTTTATTGATGGCATTTTTAATATGGTTTTTCTTAATGTAAAACAATAATATCTAAATCTTTGAAAACTTAACAATATTGTTATAAAACTTAGTATAATAATTTAAATTTTAAAAATCTTGATCTAATTATTTGTTTAGTTTAGATTTTAAATTATTTGTTTAATTTAGATTTAAAATTAAATTATATGAAAGTTATCTTACATGATTTTTTTAATTTAGTAGGTAAGAAAATCTAACTCAATATATAATAATAAAATTAAATAAAAACTCCATATTAAATTATAAAATTAAAAAAAATAAAAAAATAACTTCAAAACCCCAAAAAAAAATTCACACACACACACACACACACACATATATATATATATATATATTGCGCATATTAGACCGAAAGCAAACACAAATAAAACACAAACAACAA